GGGCAGCGGGGTGGCCAGGGGGGGCCGCGGGGAGCTCGCACCCTTCCCCAGCGCCACCGGAGGGGGGATTTCCTCCTCGTCGATCTTTTTTCCCTTCTTGACGGAGGCCAGCATGTTCTCCAGCGTCTGGAAGGAACAGGTGCAGGGGTAAAACTCGCCGTCAATCCGACATTCCTCTGCCTCTGGGAAAAGAGAACCCTCGGAGCCTGCCGGGACGGAGGCGGGAAAACCCAACGTCTGCCGAAAACCAGCGCCCAAACTCGGGCTGGAGGCTGGGGGTTTCTCACTGATTGGGGATCCAGCCCCAAACTCTACAAGCTCCTTATTTTTCCCCCAAAAAAACTTTTTCAGCCGCCTCCTCTCCCAGCCCATGCAAGAGGCCAGCCGACTCGCGCTGCCCGCAGACAAAATCCAACGCTCTTAACGGTGAAAGATGTCAGCCTCTCTCAGGTCGCAGCCCAGAGGCAACACGCGATCCCGCTCCGGGGGTTGGGGAGGGCTCTGCGCAGAAACGGGGCGCGGGAAAGACCTGAGCGCGGCAGGAGGGGCTTAACCAAGGCGGGAAGCGGCCAGGAGGGGAAAAATAGGCTCAAAAATTAAAAAAAAAAAAAAAAAAAATCCTAACTTACCGGGAGGAGGCGGGACGCTGCTCAGCTCCACCAGCTGCCCCTTCCCTGCCGCTTCCAGCAGGGAGTCAAAGCTCTGAGAAATCACAAGAAAGAAGAGAAAAGCTTCCTGGTTTTCCATGCTGGGTTTTGCAGCCAGCCCCAGCCAGCCTGACCGACCCTCGGCTTACTACAAAATCCAAGAAAAGGGGGGAGATTCGGTCGGTATTTAACAGGGAGGGACACCCGGGCCTCTCCGGCTGCCCAGAGCCGTACCTTTGCGACCCGGTAGTACTTCGTGGCCATCTCCAGGTCTCCGCGCTGCTTGGCGTGCAGCGCTGCCAGCTTGTACTCCCGCTGCCGGCCCCGCAGCAGGGCCTCGGCACCGGCACGGTCAGAGCCTGGGGAAGAGGAGAGGAGAGCGGCGTTGCCGGTTTCCCCGTCAGCGGCACGGTACAGCCGTTCCGGAGTGGAATAACGAGCCAAACCCTTGCTTGGGTGGGAAGACGGCGAGGGAGGAGCTGGTTTCGTCTCCGGAGAGCTGACGGGCAGGACCTGGGGCTTCGGGAGAACGGGGGGCGGCTGCGGCTTGGGCGCAGAGGCAGCGGGCGGCT